CCACCCCACCCACTTCTCCGCCCTCTTTCTGTTTTATCTTTCGTATTGGTATTCGCCGAAAAACGAAAGTGCACTTTCATGCAAAATCAGCCGCGCTGCCCTTTGACCCCGGCGCACCGTGTCTGCCCAGCCGAACAACGGTGAGTTCACAGTTAGGTTCTCACGGCTCATACATGAATGCATACGCGGAGTCTGTACGCTCGGATTGGCCGTATAGTGTCTATAGTAACTACAGTGTCTACAGTGTCGTCTACTGTGCTTATGGCATACCCAGAATGTGACGTGGGCGATGGTCAGAGACTGGTCTGACCCATCGGGGTTTAAAACCTGGCGTGTGCGACGGGGGTCCATACGGGAGAGAAACACTCGCCGGTCCTGATCTTGCTCGTACGTGAGATTTGGATCCTGTACCTGCATTAAATAATTCCAGCAGCTATTTTTATTCAATTTCAGGCTGTCTGATTTATCATTCCTTGATAACCAAGAATTGACTCCACTTCGGTTATCTATTTCCGGATCCACTCTGAGCTTGCATTTGGCTATTTTGAACCTGGGTTGGGTATGGATCGTGCGCCTAGGTCAGTTCCTCTCGTTAAACTCATTCTGGAGTTCGTTCTAAACGGTCTCCTCTCTGACTCTCCAAGAAAGCCGCTTTTAACGAGCTTCTTTCTAGTCCCTCTTTAATTCTCTCTCTCGCTCGCTCTCCCACCAGATCGTCAGATCCACAGTTGCCGTCCTTGTTCAGCTTATGGGATCTTCCGTGTACTAGTTCACCAGGTCCATAGGGACCATAGGACAGGGTTGAGACGAAGAGAGGAAAGTCGAGTTTCCTATTTGCTCTCAAGCCTATTTGTTATTTATATCAACACCGTCGTTTTTCATTTAGTTCGGAGCCGGTCGTGAGCAAGCTCATACTCACATGGAGTCATATGTGACGCGCGTTGACGTGCTAGGTCCAGCGACCCACCGACTGCTCGCAGTACAAATACACTCGAGTTCTCGCGACTGTTTGAACAGGTTAGGGACGGGCAGTGTTAAGGGTCCAAGTGCAATAGGAATCTCGTGTGTGCACACGAGCACGTATGCGTATTCTCAGGAAAGTCCTAAAATCGATCGTTTCCTTGATCTTTGTCTTCTTTCACATTTTTACAGTGCTGAACGAGCTGGAGGGTCTTGCGCGAGGTGGTGGTAGCAGGGACTGTCCACGTGCCTCATCCAGGTCCACCCTGGACCCGGAACACGTTGCAAGAGTCGCTGACAACGCGAGGAACGCCCTGGCCTTTGCCAGAAGTAGAAATCCAGCAGTGAGATGTCTGACAACCAGAGGAACTGTGTTGACCTCGAGCACCTTCACTGTCGAGGAAGACGTGGACCAGGTAGTTAGAGATGATGAAGAAAGAAGGAAAAAAATTTTCATTATTTTCTTCGCTCGTTTCTATTATTTGTACATTTAAAATTAACCTTATTAAGGCCCCTTCCCCC